TGAAAGCCTGAATTCTACCAAAATGTTAATTAGAAAGTTTATGTCTTCTGTGCCATTTGGGATGAAGCTTTATTGATGTATATCAAGTATGGAAATTGTTATGTCTCATTGATTGTATATGTTTGAATCAAATCATTGATTGATATGGAAAGCTTGTCACATGATTCACATATGCCTTTGTTGTTTCTTGTTCCTCTTTGCTTCTGCCATATTAAAGTATATATATATATATATATATATATATATATATATATATATATATATATATATATATATATATATATATATATATATATACGGCATAACGTTATATTGTATCTATTATTGAACTCACTAAGCGTCACCGCTTACCCCTCTCAATGTTTAACAATTGCAGGCAATAAGCAACCAATATAGTAATATACTGATAGAAGATTTTGAATAGTTTGAAACTATTGTATTTAGTAATCATGTATGTATAAAAGTATAGTATCCTGGGTAGTTGTGTAGTATATAACACTTTGTAATAGTCGGTTTGTATCCAGTTGTTTGTAATCACTTTATCAATGTAAAATATTGTTTTTTATGAATATGCATGTAGCATGTTTTGGAGTAACAATTGTCAAATATGAAAGTGTGGGTATTTCAATCATGGTATCAGAGCAATAGTTTAAGTGAACTAAATATCACAGATTGGTATTTAGACTTAAAGCGTTGGAAGTTCAATATATGAACGGATTCATTAGGAATATATGGATACAAACCATAGGAAAGATTTAAGTAAAGTATTAGGTAATAATAAATCCTAATATTCTAAATACTATTTTGCTCCAAATTTTCAGAAGAATGGCTGAACAGGAAGGTAGCCATACACCAGAAGTAGGTGTATTTCGGGACCAGATGATGCAAAAGTACCCTTACCTCTTCTCTAGTTCTTAGTGACTACTCTCGAATGAATTTCGGGACGAAATTCCCTCTAACGGGAGGATGATGTCACAACTAGCAATTTTGGTTTATGATTGTATGCATGCACCAACACTCTATAACATAATTGAAATAGACTATGTTAAGTCAAAGATGAACATATTTTGGATGCACCATAAGCAAAACATGTGAGATATTGAAACAACACAAATTTAAATGTCAAGAGGGACCAAAAATGACCAAAGTATGAAACTTATTTATGGAACAATTAAGTGTTCGGCCATGGAACACCATGACCGAACACACTTTGTTTTGGCCACTTTAAAAACCGAACACACCTTGTTTTGGGCCTCATAAGACCGAATTCCCCATTAAATGGGCCTTACAAGACCGAATTCTCCATAGAATGGGAATATAGGACTGATTTCCTCATTTCCAAACTTTTAAAGAAACCGATTTCTATTGGGATAAAATCGGTCATGCTTTGAATATTTAATATGTGTTCGGTTAATTCAAGGACTTTTCAGAATGAATATCATTTGTTTAATAGATTTCCTGTAAGTAGAAGTTGTCCTAGGAAACTAAAATCGGCCATACCTTGAATAAATTAATATGTGTTCAGTCAAAATCAAAGACTTTTCAGTGGATAACAACTGTTTAATAGATTTACAATACGTAAAAGGTGCATTGGAAACAAAATTTGGCCTTACCTCTTATTATCCACCAAGTTTCCACACTATCCCCTCAAATATCCATCAAACGTCCATGCCACTTCTGTATCTTATAACCCACGAATTGGGACTTATTCAAGTCATTTGCACTCTACTTCCCTTCTCTCATTCTCTGATACTCCAACATTAGACAGTTTTCAATTTTCTTTAAGAACAAGGTCTAAACTCTCAAATAACCCCATCATCCAAGTGATTCTTGCTTCTTGGTAAGTACTTCTACAAACTCCTTGTGTTCTTACACTCATTTGTATTCATTTCATTCCATTTACACACAAAAATTTCGTGTGTGACACTTTATAAGGTGTTAGAGACTTCAAGTGTTCTTCAAGAAAAATCTTTGTGTTTGGCTCAACAAACTCTACTCCACACTTCAAACCTTCCCACAAAAGCACCCAGGGTGAGCTTCATACCCCTCATTTTCGTGTTTTTCTACCTTAAGGGGGGAATACAAGCTTAGTTTTGTGTTTGATCTTAGTATTTATGCTTGCATGTGTATATTTTCATGATATTATGTGTGAAATGCTATGAACTCTTGATAAACTTCCATGAACTCAAGATTTCATCATGTTTTGAAGTGATTACAAAATAAGTTACATTATGTTGCTTCATAAAATAGCTGGATATGATAAACATGTTTACAAAGTTATTCTGAAACTAAAAGAAAATACAAGAAAGGACCTTATTTGGCAAATAAGTGAAAATGGGCTAAAATGATTTTTTTGAACAAAATGGGTCTTTTATGTCATTTTCGTTTTTAAAGAGACTAAAATGGTTATTTTCAAAAAATGGACCTTTTATGTCATATCTGATATTTTTGGACCAAAATGGTCATTTTTGATAAGATGGACCAAGTATGACAAGTTTCACTTAAAATGGGCCAATAATGTCATTTTTACTATAAATGGGCCTAAAATGTCATTTTAACACTAATTGGACTAAAACGTTCATTTTTGTTTACAAGTGGGTTTCTTACAACATTTTACCCTAATTGGGCCTTACAACATACTTTACGTTAACCAGGCCTACAACAAATAGATACTTGATATTTCGATAAAAACAAATTGTATTTTATCACTAATGTTTCGTAATCAATTACATTATCGAAGATTTTTTTTAAAATATTAAATAATTTGATACACTGTTCACGTAAGATTAGTTAAGGCTCTTGTGAGACACCTTCATTTGTACCTACCTAGCGTACACCGTAAGCCCTGTAGTTATAACCAGAGTCTCCTAGAGGGAGAGCGAGAATTTGTGTATAGATCTATACGGGGATGACACCCCACACCTGAGCTGCTCGCTACAGCTAGACAGGCCAGTCTAGGGTGACAAATGTCTTACCTAACGCGACGCCTGAAGAACGTCAGGACATCCATAGCAGTCATATCAAACATGGTTATAGCGACTCACATAGAGAATAACAAACAAATAAATTTACGGAATACACATACTATACTCTTGATACATGGTACAAATTAAACATTTGTTACATTACTCGGGTCTTAGGGCCAAGACCACACCTTTTCATTTATACAGAAAATATAGGATTTTCTGGGAAACTCTTTTTATACATTACCAGACAAGATTACACATGCCCTAATACAAGATTTGAAACAAAAACTTACAAACCATTTTTACAGAAAATATCAGATTTTCTGGTGATTACAAACTACTACAAAACTTTTCATACAAACATACTTATGAACTCACCAACATTCTATATGTTAACGCTTTTCAAAATAACTTGTATTCTCAGGAACTCGTTAATCAGGTTGGTTGTCAAGGAAATGTGGACTTTTGTTGTAATTTGTTGTCATCATACATTTAATATTTTTAGGGGATGTAATTTGTGAACAAACACACTTATGTAAAACTATGATGGTTGTTATATTTCATGTACGATGATGATGTTGTCTTTGATTCATTTATATACACTATGATGATATTACAAGATGAATACACCCAACTCCCGGATGTTTCCGCCATTTCTCCGGTTCAGGGGTGTGACAATATGTTTTTAAGATCTTAATTTTTTTTAATATTACCTTTTTAATTGTGTTACATCTTATTTTACAACTTAGTTTTACGAATGCATTTCTACATTTTTTTACATATTTGTATAAATATGTTTTTAATTTTTCTTTTTTCATGTTTACAAATATTTTTTCAATTTGTTTTCTTTTAGGAGCTGTTTGGTTTGAAGAATGTTTCTAAATGAATTGGAATTATGATTGAAAAAAATATGTTAGGGATTTGAATCCAATTCTATATTCTATTTGATTGGCAGGAAACAAAATTGAAATTAATTATAGATTCTGTTGGTTGATAGAAAATGAAATTGTATATCCATGTAAAATGACTAAAGTTTTCTTTTTATCTGTTTTGCTTAATTTTACTTTGTTTTCTATCTTATATGTAAAGATATATTATATAAACTACAAAATAGTAAAATTTCATTTTATTAATTGAACATTCATGTCAGTTGCGGTGATCGATGGCGGTGGCATTGGCCTTCGTAGGTGTAGTTGGTGGTGGTGGATTGTAGTGGCGGTAATAGTGGGTAATACTGGCGGTAGAGGATGGTGGTGGTGGTGGTGGTGGTGGTGGTAGCTGTGGCTATGGCGATAGATGGTGGTGGTTGTAGCAGTTGTGGTGGCGATAGGTGGATGGTGGTGGCGGTAGTGATAGCGATGGTAGGTGGTGATGACAAGGTAAGTGGTGATGGAGGTTGCGTTAGGTGGTGGTGGTGACGGTGGTAGGTGGCGGTGGTGATGATAGGTGGTGGTGGTGGTGGTGGATGATGGTAATATAGTTTATGTTGTGAACTAAAATAAGAGTAATAAGGTAAAATGCCACTTTCCTTCATAGTATGGAACTAATTCCATCATCTTATTGAAGGAAAATGTTTTCCCTTATTTGATGGAATTTTTTTTTCATTTAGGATTCTTATTCCATCATACAAAGTTGCACCAAATACCGAAATGTGGTGGAATTGGATTTCTTTTTCTCCCGAATTCCATTCCATTCTAGAGAACCAAACGTACCCTTAGTTTCGTCAATAATTAATATTAATAAGGAAACACTTAACTTATGGTATTTACATTCATATTAGTAACTTACCGACACAAGGATCTCATGATATCATTGAACGACTAACGAACTACCATACTGTTGTCACTAGATTTTGTTTATTAAACAAACATATGGTATCCGTTGCAACGTGAGGACGTGCAAACCGTAGTTATAGATATACAAAACACCACTAAAGGGTTTTCCGTGGTTATATTTTAGATATATTCAAGAGGATGTAACACACATTCAATGATTTTGGAGTGGTAAACTCAAAGGAATTTCGGAGGAACAAGGATGTTTCCTTGGAGGTTCCATTTTCTCTTGATGAGGTTAGACATGTAATTTGATATTTTTATCATGAGATTTTACTAACCAAAAAAATCTATTTAAAATGCCAACATAATACCAACAAGAGAACTTGGCGACATATTTGTGACATATTAACAACATAAATGTATCTATTGGAAATTATCGAAATTAATATATATATATATATATATATATATATATATATATATATATATAGAGAGAGAGAGAGAGAGAGAGATATATATATGTTCATGTGTTTAAAGTAATTATTGTGTTATTGTATGCATAAATGTGGGCCAATCAAAACTTAATAAAAAATTAAATAATTAAATAAATAAATAAGGGTAATTTAGTAATTTGTTTAGTAAATTTCAAAAATAATCCCTATAATCATGGTATTGACTAAATAAATAAGCGTGTCTTCCTCAATCTCCCACCAGATAAAGCCCTAGCATCCTAGAGGGTATCAACGCTTTTCCTAGAGCTGCTCAAACTCAAAATCAATCATCGGAAACTTCATCGGGGGATAAAGACGAGCATTCAACACTTAACGCGGGATTAAGAAAAGTTAAGATCTTCAAGGAGTACGTCTCGATTAAAAGAGGCAAAAAAGCCTCCGGCGAGGATGATAATGAAATTAGCGAAAGCAGGAGTGACGAAGGTGACTATTCCAATTCCAATTCCAATCTTGTTGACTCTGAATCAGGTGATGATTCCGGAGACGGTGAATCGTTCGAGAATGCTAATGTTCAGAAATCATTTAGCTATGGCACGTTGGCATATGCAAATTACGCCGGTGGATCTCTTTTCGAGGACAATCTTTATTATAGTAACCAGAAATCCGATGAGAGTGAGCGTTGCTCACCGGAAAATGACCCGATCGCTTCGAGTTCTGAACAGAGTATAACTCAGATTCCGAAACGCAACATCTTACCATGGAAGAAGAGGAAATTAAATTTCAAATCACCACCGAAGGGCGAACAGTTGTTAAAGAAAGATTACGGTGAAGAAGGTGGAGATGATATTGACTTTGACCGGCGGCAACTCAGCTCCGATGAGTCTCTAGTTAACCTACCTCAGGTAATTCTTCCGGCTTCAGAGTTTGGGGACGATAGTTTTGCAATCGGGAATTGGGAACAGAGGGAGATAATCTTCGGCTTCGATGTGTTGACATAATATTTTTTGGGACTTGCTTTCTGCATTCAGGTTTGAGTTTTTATCATTTTATTATTTTGTATCTCATTCAATGTATTTTTTGGGACTTGCTTTCTGCTTTATGCATTCAATGTATTGCTGGAAGGGTATTTTTGTCCATGGGGTATTGCATATATGTTATTGTCTCTTAAAATATGTCACAGTTTGGTGTTGCTTTGTTCAATTATTTGAATTGCTAATTCTTCTTGGAAATTGTTAAATTGCTTAGGGTGCTATACAGTTTTAGGGCTCAAATTGTTAAATCACTTATTAAAGAATATGAACTTTTTATTTTTTGTTGTTTACGCATTTATTTCATAAAATTCATGAATATGTGTTTATTTTGTTACATATATGTTTCATAAAACTTGAATATGAACTGTAGTTTTACGAGGTGAAAGATCGACTGTGTCATATATATAGAAGCAATAACCAAGTTTACCCATCTCTAGTGTTGTTCTTTGGCAGGAAAACAGAATTGGGTATGTTTCTTTTGATTGGGTTTTACTAGTTAAATAGATAAAAAAAAATCAATTCTCTTGATCTTATTGTATAGTTGTGAATTTTGATAGATATGGAGTACATTGTGATCTAAGAGAAAGAAAACATAAACGTGTGGTACAATTCTTGAGATTGACATGAAGAAGATAAAAGGAATCATGAATTCCAATCTGTTGGAATGGAATCATGAATTCTAATTCTGTTGGAATGAAATCATGAATTCCAATTCTGTTGGAATCTAAACTACAATTTGGTTTTGTTTTCATAGAATTTGATGCTTGAAGAACGGACCGCAAAATTGAAAGTGATTCTAAGCACCATTATTCTTTTAGAATGTAGTAGTGTCGTTGTTAGATTTTGATGTTTTCTTTCCGGTTTTGAAAGTTTTTTTAGTTTTATTCTTTAACAATAAATGTAATTCTTAACAATTGTTACCCGTATTCTATAAGAAATAATGTATTTTTTGTTTTTATTCTTCAATTAATTGTTCTAGAATTTGTTATTCTACGAGAAGTTTTTAAAGTCATGGTCAATAAATAGGTTCAAGAATATTTTTATTATTTATGGTTCAAGAATATTTTTATTTTTGAATATACTCAAAAACACATTCTGTCAAAATGTCCGAATTAAAAGAATTATAATTCGTAAAATCGGATTTTTAAAATTAATAGAATCTATGATCCCTTAAAATATGCAATTTTCCTTTATTAAATCTATATTAATTGACTAAAATACCATTGTAATTAAATTAGATGATATTTTTCAATTATATTTAATTCAATAATATATATTAATCACTTTCTTAAAATAAGTAAAATTGATTGGCCCACATTTATGCATACAATAACACAATAATTATTTTGAATAGAATAACCTAGGCCTATATCAGTCAGAAATCCATTTGAAGTTACCGACATAATACAATAATACAATGAAGGTAATTTACATTATTGTCATCAACAACTAGTTTAGCAATGGTATCAGGAATAGTGAGACCTAATCCTTGAATCCATGCCTCATCCCCCTTGGGAAAAAAAAACGGTCCACATCCCCATCTTCAATGCAGAATCAAGGATTTCCCCGTTACAAACTCCATTTATAGAATCTTACAAAACTACGTTAAAAGAACTCCAATCATTGAATGTCTTCAAGTTTACAAACTACAACCATTTTTTTTTTGAATAAAAAGCATAATAGAATCATTGACATCCATTTCCAAGTTTCATATCGAACCATCAAAAGTCACCTATCAATCATAGGAAAACAATTTATAAAGAAATGCAACTTTTCCACGCTTCTTCACATCCAAAATTTGGAGCTTTTTCTCTGCATTTTGAAGAGTCAAGAACACTTCAAGAAAATCATCATTTTGCTCTTGATTCTTGCTATATGTTTGGTACTCTTAACTTTTATTTTGTTTTCTTGTGTTTAGCCATGCTAGGCTAAACTAATCTTGGTTAACTTTGGTATATTAGCTTGAATGTTTGTTTGCATATTGAAGAACTCCGTAAACTTGTTCTTAGATCTGAAAGTGTTTTACATCTTAACTTTTTCTTGCTACTTATATGTCTTTATCATGAGTTTACATGTTCATTTAGTAATTAGTTGTCTAATTTCTTGATTAAATAATGGATCTTCAAATTACCAAGCAACAAATGTGTAGCATCCGAATCATTGAGGTACTTAAATTCTTGAATTTTTGCATTTTAGAGGAGGCTTACATCGTGAGCCACAGTGGACACGACATGAGAAATCCTATTGACCATTTGACCCGTATCCTCGAACCTCACGACGTGAAGCATAAGGTCTCATGACATGACCATTTGACCCGTATCCTAAATTGGCTTAATTTACATAAATAGTCCCTAGATTTTATTGAACTTGACACTTTTGGTCATGTTTTTATATATATATTTTTTAATAAAAAAATACGTTTTGGACGAGGTCCGGATCACCTACTAGTTAATTGTATACTCTATACAAGTTGTATAGAGTATACAATGCAAAGTATAATACAACTACTGTCAAATAACTAATTGTATGTTCTGTATAACTATTGTCAAAAATAATATTAACATGATTACCTATATGACGAGTAAAAGATTATCTGGTAAAAAATATATTTACTTAATATTTAGTCTTTTGGAGGATCAGATGGATAGCAGTTTCGGTTTTTGGAGCGATATGGAAGAAGATACCATCCACATGCATAGCAGACGGTGGATCTTGGAAAACATCGCCCATAAAAATCAATCTTCCTCTCAGTAGTTAATTCACAGGGAACCAGCAAAACTATATTCCGAAACTGCGAAACACCAATGGCTTCCCTACACACAGACCTTCATTTTGTCTTGTTTCCTTTAATGGCTCAAGGCCATATGATACCCATGGTGGATATTGCCCGATTACTAGCCCAACGTGGCGCTACAGTTACCATAATCACTACTCCCATTAACGCCAACCGTTTCAAACCGGTCATTGCTCGGGCAATAGAAGATAAACTCAAGATTCAAGTTCATGAATTCCCACTCCCATTAGCTGAAGTTGGATTGCCGGAGGGATGTGAGAGCTTTGACATGATTCCATCTGCTGCCCTCTATGTCAAATTGTTTCAGGCGGCTGATTTGTTAGAGGAACCGGTAGATAACATGCTCCGGCGACTAACTCCGGCTCCAAGTTGCATCATTTCCGATAATCTTTTTCCTTGGACTAATGATATAGCTCGGAGGTTGGGTATTCCCAGGCTTATTTTCCATGGACCTGGATGCTTCACCTTCGTGTGCATACATATTCTGATGAATACTAATATACTACATGAAACGGTGTCCGATTCAGAGTACTTTGTGCTTCCTGGTATATCTGACCGGATTGAGCTTACTAAGGCTCAAGGGTTGAGTTGGGGAAGGAAAGACAACGAACAAATGGCAAAAATGTTAGAACGAGTGCGTGTAGCAGAAGAAGCTGCAAACGGGATTGTTGTTAATAGTTTCCAGGAGTTAGAGCGTCACTATGTTGAAGAACTTGCGAAGGTGAAAGATAAGAAGGTCTGGTGTATTGGCCCGGTTTCACTATGCAACAGAAGTTTCCAAGATATAGCTGAGAGAGGAAGTAAGGCTGGAATCAACGAACATGAGTGCTTGAAATGGTTAGATTCGAGGGAGAAAAGTTCTGTAATCTTTGTTTGTTTGGGAAGTCTATCACGTACTTGTACTGAACAAAACATTGAGCTTGCTTTAGGATTGGAGTCATCGAACATACCCTTTATTTGGTGTGTGAGACATGCAACAGAAGAACTCGAGAGATGGTTCTTAGAAGAAGGATATGAAGAAAGGGTGAAAGATAGAGGCCTTATCTTTCTTGGATGGGCACCACAAGTCTTGATTCTATCACATGGAGCAGTTGGAGGTTTCTTAACACATTGTGGATGGAACTCAACTCTTGAAGGTGTTACGGCTGGGGTCCCTATGGTTACATGGCCACATTTTGCTGACCAGTTTCTCAATGAAAGATTTATGGTAGATGTCTTGAAGATTGGTGTGAAAATTGGCATGGAGTTTCCGGTTATAGCTGGAGAGCAAGACAAGTTTGGAGTTTTAATTAATAAAGAAGACATCAAGACATCAGTGGAAAGTCTAATGGACAAAGAAGAGGAAGGAGAAGGAAGACGAAAGAGAGCTAGAGAGCTTGGGGAAATGGCGAAGAGAGCGATGGAGGAAGGGGGTTCGTCTCACATCAACATGACGTTGATGATTCAAGATATTATCAAAGAATTAGCCAATAACACCATGCCAATTCAAGATATTGGGAATGCATTGTAAGGACATCTTTAAGTTGTCACATTATTATTATTATTTCTTTTTCATACTACTTTGACACGTTATAAAAAGTTGAAAAGGTTTTATTTTTTCCCTTGAATCGCATATTGTTGAACATTACCCTCCAAACCAACCCCAAACTAGTCTTTTTCATGAACTATGAAAAGATATTATGTAAGCATGTTTTCTTTTTAATCATTTTGTATGTAAATAATCCAAACATTTTTAATTTTTTTTTCACAACATAAGCTAAACACTTTTATTGAAAAATATTTATTTGATTAAATAAACTAATAAATACTTTTATCAAAAAATTTATATTTCATTAAATAAGCAATTCCAAACACCCTTTAGTTCACCATTTAGGCCGGGAGACACTACAAGAAATACAGCCATTACCGACGACAATACCTTTAGCGGCGACAAATCGAAAAGTCGCCGCTAAAGGTCTTGTCGCCGCTATTGGTGTCGACGGTAATGTCTACCTATCCGAATTCGCATTTTCACGTTCTGGTGAACGCCAAACGTTCGATCATTTTTGTAATCCAATGGCTGAGAAACTCGTGGAACGCACAAAACCAATATATACCGGCGACAATATGTCGCCGCTAAAGACCTAAAATTGTCGTCGCTAAAGGTCGAAAAAAAAACGCGCCTTCTTTTCCCTCTACGTATGTCGCCGCTAAAGATTGGATGTCGCCGATATTGCTTCTGTTGTCGCCGCTAAAGGTCGACGCAGATTATACCCACTTGCTTCCTCTTTCTGCTTCGATCTCCTCTCATTTTGTTCCATTTTCCGATCATTTGCTCCGACAATTCTCCCTTCCTCCAACGATTCTCCCTCATTTAACAACATATAGTAGAAGAGATACCGCCGACGACTGAAAACTACCCCTCTCCGACCACCGATACTGTTGCTGCTGTCAATTTCCTTTTCCCTGGTTCGTGTGTCCTTCTTCATCTCTTCTTTTCTTTCTATTTTAATGTTGATTTCCATAAGAATTTGTGATTAATTGCATTTTTGTTTTCAAAAATCTATTTTCCTCTCCGGTCACCACCACTACCGTCGGTTGTTGCTGTCACCGGCATCAACTACCACCACCGCTGTTGCAGCACTGAAGACTACCACCACCAGTTGAAAGAGGGAAAAGTTTTTGGGAACCACAGGTGCATTTTTTGTAATTTGTTTTGTATGTGTGCATTTGTGTGTGTATTTTGTATATATGTGTGTATTTCATATATGTGTGAAATATGTTATATGTGTGTGTATTTCATATATATGTGTGTGAAAATTGTGTGTATTTCATATATGTGCGTGTATATGTGTATAATGTATGTATATATGTATTTGTATGCAATTTGGATTGTGTCTATGGTTGTTTAATGTGTATAAAAAGTATGTATATATGTGTATGATGTATGTATGTGCAATTTGGAGTGTGTTGATGGCTGTTTTATGTGTATAAAAAGTATGTGTATATGTGTATAATGTATGTATGTGTGTATTTGTATTCAATTTGGAGTGTATATGTATACAATGTGTAAACTACAATGTCATAATGGAAAAAAGAAACAAAAAACAAGTAGGACGCTATTATTGAAATGTTATTTAAAGTAAATTACTATAATAGTTCCTACGTAATGTGTATTTGTAGATAAATTGGTAATTATTAGTTTGTTGGTTTGTTAGTTTGATTGTTGGTTTAACTTAGAAGGTTAATGTTAGTTAGTTGGTTTGTTAATTTGATAGTTTGTTGATATATAGATAAATTGGTAATTGTTAGTTTTCTTATCATTTGGTAATTTTTAGTTTGGTTTAAGTTAATAGGTTAACTTACAAGTTTATATGTTGTTATTTAATATGTAGTTGGAGAATCTTCGATCAATGTCCAACGATCCGGAGTCAGCTGTGGAACTTATAGGATGGAACAATGGTGGCGGGGATGATGACAAGTCGTATTAGTTTTATCTTTTTATTAGAGATTGTAGTATGACATAAATTTATAAGAATTTTGTTATTTATTTTGGTGTATGTATGGTATTATAAAACTTGGATGCTATGTAATCGGTTTTTCTGCATTTAACGTTATTACGTATCGGTTTTTGGATAGCCGAGAATGGCTGCTTTAAAAAAAAAAAAGCAATAGCGGCGACACTATTAGCGGCGACATTGGGCATTAGCGGCGACATTGGGCATTAGCGGCGACAAGTAGCATTAGCGGCGACATTATCATTAGCGGTGACACGTAGCATTACCGGCGACTTTTTGAGCAATAGCGACGAGACAGTAGTGGCGACTCAATACCCTTTTTTCTTGTAGTGAGAGTGGTAACAAACTTATGTCTTTCGAAATGTTGTATATCGCACACCGCGATATGGGTACCGCACGGGAAAAATAAACATACTTTGCAAAAATAGTACTTTGTGCATAAAAATGTGTACTATAGTAAGGTGTGGTATGATACCCAAAGGTGAAGGAAGAATGACACTACAATTTAAAATTATGATAATATGTATTATGACATCCACCAGATTTTTTGAAGCCACATGCGCCAAATGAAATGGTACACTACAAGAATAATAGACTATCACGACGACACGTATCCTGACGACAAAATTCGTCGCTAAAAGGTGGTCTCTGCTGACGACAAGTAGTCTCCAAAACGTTTACTACTTTGACCAGATCTGTTTGACCTTAAAAGGTATCGTCGGGACAGTGTGGGCGGGAAAGACAAAAATTTTCGCGGTAATCTGAAACTCTATGCCGACGACATGTCATCGGTATAGGGTATGACAAATTGAATATTTATTTATTTTTATTCGATATTGTAGAAAACCGGAACGACATAGTTTTCTGAAACTCTATGTCAACGACAAGTCGTCGGTATAGGGTAAGAATCCAACGTGGTGATCCGCGTGAAAATTTTAATTTCTTTTAATAAAGACAAAAGATAGAAACGACGTCGTTATTTGAACCCTATACCGACGACATGTCGTCGGCATAGGATTTTACCCTTATTAGTGCATCGTTCATCGTTCAGTTGCAGCGAACGATACAATCTTTCTCTCTCGGACTGGACCAGCGATTTTGCACCATCTTCACCGGCAACGAGATATAGGTACATATTTGGTCATTGTTTTCTTGATTGTTTATGATTGATCAAGTTTTTAACTCAAAATTTGGGGGTTTTTCTTTTGTTTTTTTGATTTTGAGGGGTTTTTCTTTTGTTTTCTTATTTTGTGCTTTTCCGGTGCCCACCAGCCACCACCGGAGGACCACCATCAAATCCGACCACCGGAATCCGACCATCACATCAAGAAGAACAAAACAGGTTAGTGTTTTTTTTTTTTTCCTGTTTTCTAATTTTTTTTTAAATTTTATATATGTTTGATTTCATGTTTATAATTGTAGATTTGAACATGAAGATCTGTTTTCTTATTTTGTGCTTTTGTTAATCTTTTTGTTATTTTGATGATGAAGACTTGTTTTTTTGTTATTTAAAAAAAATCTTATACCGACGACATGTCGTCAGTATAGGTTTTACCTGTAAAAACTGTTGGAAACTTTTCCCGATGACAAGTCGTCGGTATAGATTTATAATAAAACTTTTTTTTTACCTCGAAAATCTTTCCCGACGATCCTTTATAGACTACAAGTCGTCGGCATAGATGGATCTGTACCGACGACATCTATATCGACGACAATTTTGACTTTTACCGACGACTTTGTACGGTCGACAAGTCGTCGACATATGTTTTACCGACGACATGTCGTCGGCATAGGTGTTGAAAAAGTCGTCGGTATAGGTATCGTTCCTGTTCCTTGTAGTGGTAGCATCAAAGTTGTATGTTTTTTTTAGAACAACAAATTTAATCTAATCCTACTAAATTATTTCTAATCTCACTTAAGACAATACTGATAGACTAGAAGGCCTTTGATATCAAAGTTGTATAAAGCAGAGAATAATAATATATTCTTTTAATAGGTTTTATTCAAGGAAAAGAAAAAAAAAGCCAATCACAGACTTCTTCCATTTTCTTTCTCTTCTTTTTTACTCTAGCTACCTTGATGACGAGCCTTGTAGCTTTGATGGGATGGTCCTGGCGAGCTATTGGGGAGGGCTACTTCGTCGGGCCTTAGTACAAGGGATATTTGGTATATTCTTGTTAGGTAGTCAAAGTCAAAACTATCATTGATTTTTGGATTAAAAAGAGAAAATTCATGAAATAACTAAAGTGAGGGGGTGTTTTAAGCATTTAACCAATAAATTTTGAGTTTTGGAAAATGACCATGAGATCCGCAGAGGGGGCTCTGTGAATCGCTTTAAACCTCTGAGTTACGATGAATAGTACCGATGAATTAACGTGACATCACTAAAAGACAAAATATGGTGGGTATCATGGTTCCGCAGAAGTGGCTCTGCGGATCCATTTAACCCTCTGCGGAAGTTTAAATTCTCTAAGGAAATGATAGTTGCTCCTCTCCGACAGATCCGCAGAGCCGTCTCTGCGGATCCATGCAACACCTCTACGGAATTGTTGATTTCTCTGCGGATACCACCATATTTTTTTGTCTTTTAGTGATGCAACGTCAATTCCTCGGTACTATTCATCGTTCTTGAGAGGTTTAAAGCAATCCACAGAGCCCCATCTGCGGATCTCGTGGTTATTTTCCAAGACTCAAATTTTTTTGGTTAAATGCTTAAAACACCCCCTCAAATTTGGTTTATCTCATAAATTTTCTCTTAAAAAAAAACACTTATGCACGGTGGCAAAATTCAGGTTCTTCTTGTTTTGTTGCACATAAAAACAACACAACAAATTGGTATCACGTTGGGGAGAGGAGCTTTTATTGATCGATAGTGGCTGTTTGGGGATATTCCTTGGCTTTTTATTTAAGGGTTTATCAAAGATGCGATGCTTTGAAGAAAGTTTTGGAGAGATTTATCCATTTCGAATCTAGATAATTACTACAATCAAATTCGTTTTTATTTTAGTGAATTGCATTGAAAACTGGGTTCACCCACACGGAAATCTTGTGCTTAGGTGGAGTGTGAAAGATTGCACACAAGGCGTTCGATAAAAGTACTCAGTAAGATTACATTATTCTTGAAGTTCAAGAACGTAGCTATTGATGCATTTTCTGAACTGGGTGTGTAAAAGAAATCGTTTGGTGAAAGTCACCAAGGTTTCATGAGGTAAAAGGAGAAAACAAAGCATACAAGTTGCACACTAGCTACACAATATCTTGAATCGGTATAGTCTTCTTAGCTACTTCTTCTGTAATAGCTTGAATCATCAATGTCATGTTGAGATGAGACGAACCCCCTTCTTCCATTGCCATCTTCGCCATTTCCCCAAGCTTTCTCGCTCTCTTTCTTCTCGCTTCTCCTTCCTCTCCACCATCCATTAAACCTTCAACAGCTGCCCTAATCTCTTCCCTCGTCAGCAACAATTTTTCCGCCTTATCTTGCTCATAGAACATAACAGGAACCTCCACACCAATCCTCACACCAATTCTTAACACATCTATCACAAATCTTTCATTCAAAAACTGTTCTCCAAAATGCGGCCAAGTAACCATTGGAATCCCAGCAGAGATCCCTTCAAGAGTCGAATTCCACCCACAATGCGTCACAAAACCCCCAATCGCTCGATGTGACAAAATCAACATTTGTGGAGCCCAGCCATGAACCATCAATCCTCTATCTTTAACCCTTTCTTTGAATCCTTCTTCTAAGATCCATTTCTCAAGTTCTTCACTTGCGTTCCTAACAAACCAAATAAAAGGTTTATTCGATAACTCCAATGCTAACCCTAGCTCAATCGATTGTTCTGTAGAAGCATACGATAGACTTCCCAAGCATACGTACACTACAGACTGTGGGTCCCGCAAATCCAACCATTTCAAACAATCTTGTTCATGAATCGCGGATTTATTTCCTCTCTCGGATATATCTTGTAAACTTTTGTTACATAATGAAACCGGACCTATACACCAAACTTTCTTACCTTTCACTTTTGCAAACTCTGCAACGTACTTCGGCTCCAATTCCTCAAAAGTATTAACCACAATCCCACTTGAACTTTTCTCGGCTTCCATCAGTCTTTCAAAGTTATCAGTAGTTTCTTTAGTATCTCCTTTTCCCCACGTTGAAGCCTGAGGTTTAGTAACTTCAATCCTATCAGGAATCCCAGGCATTACAAAGTACTCCGAGTTGGAGTCAATTTCATTTAGTATATTAGTATTTGTCACAATGTGTATACACAAAAACGCGAAACATCCGGGCCCATAGAATACAAACCTAGGAATATTTAACCTTTTTGCAATATCCATAGTCCAAGGAAAACCACCATCTGAGATGATGCAATTTGGAGGCGGGTATAACCCACGGAGCATCTTTTCCGCGGGTTGTTCTAGCAACACCATTGCTGTGAACATGTTGACCGCTTGTGCTGCTGTTGGGAGCAAGTCAAAATTCTCACATCCTTCGGGTAAACCGGCTTCAGATAATGGTAGTTGGAGTTCAAGAACTTGGATGTTGAGTTTAGCTTTGATTGCACGATTTGTGACTGATTTAAAACGGTTTGCATTGATTGGAGTTGTGATTATGGTGACCATAGCACCATGTTGGGCTAGGATCCTTGCTATGTCAACCATTGGTATGAGATGACCTTGAGCCATTAATGGAAATAAGACTATGTGAAGGGACGCCATTGGAGTTTTGGAATTTGATAGATGTTAGTGGCTATGTGTGAAACTACTTTAGCTTCGTGAACTCTACAAATTAAATAGCATGCGAACATGAACAAGTGGTTACAATGTGTCTTTTTGTTTTGTAGTTTTCGAAAACCAACATTGAAATGATAAATGAAATTTGATGATAACTATGGTAGCATGAGAGCCAAAAAAATTGGATTTTACAATATCACATCTTATGTTCGGCAGAATCTACCTCTATTGATGTGACTGAATTAACCTACGTAAGCGGCTGTGACATTGACATTATCAGCATCTTTGTGTGTTCGGCAGCATCTATATACCACCTTAGATTTGGTCCATTGGATGCTATTAATGCAACTTTTTGAGGAATCTTGAAATTAAAACTTTATCACTTATAGTGATACATTGTTTTTGGTAGTCGGTTGAATGATAAAATAAATAAATAAAGCATTATAACTCTAGGCATCCAAATCATCAAAGTAATTTTCAATTTAATCACTCAAATGATGAAATAATTAGATATTGCGAACACACAAAATAAAGCATACTTGCACAATGTTTTGTCTTGAAAAATCATGCATGTTGTAATACTTAAAATGGCTACACAATATCTTGAATTGGTTTATTGTTCTTGGCTACTTCTTCGGAAATAGCTTGAATCATCAACTTTATGTTAAAGTAAGAAGAACCCTCTTCCTCCATTGCTTTCTTTGCCATTTCCCCAAGCTCTCTAGCTCTCCTTCTTCTTGCTTCTCCTTCCTCTTGCTCATTCATCAAAACTTCCACAGCAGTCTTGATGTCTTCCTGCTTTACCACTTCAAACTTATCTTTCTCTCTATACATAAGTGGAAACTCTGCACCAATTTTGACTCCAATTTTTACAACATCTACGATAAACCTTTCATTTAGAAATTGCTCTGCGAAATGTGGCCATGTAACCATTGGAATCCCAGCACAAATCCCTTCTAGAGTCGAGTTCCAACCACAATGTGTTATGAAACCCCCAATAGCTTGGTGTGACAATATCAAGATTTGAGGTGCCCAACCACGAACCATTAAGCCTCTATCTTTTATCCTTTCTTCATATCGTTCTTCTGAAAGCCATTTCTCAAACTCTTCACTTGTTTGCCTAATGAACCAAATAAAGGGTATGCCTGATAACTCCAATCCCAAAGCAAGCTCAATGGCTTGTTCTTTGGTAGCATACGATAGACTTCCCAAGCAAACGTACACTACAGACTGTGGCTCTTGTAAATCCAACCATTTCATGCAATCATGCTCGTTTTTAACTCCTTTGTCTCCTCTTTCGGCTATATCTTGGAAACTTTTGTTGCATAGAGAGACAGGGCCTATACACCACACTTTTTTACCTTTTGCCTTTGCAAACTCTTCAACATACTTTGGCTCCAACTCCTCAAAGCTATTAACCACAATCCCATATGCATCTTTCTCGGCTTCTTGTGTTTGTTCAAACGACTCCTTGGTTTCTTTTGTGTTTCCCTTTCCCCAACCTGAAGCCTGAGGTTTGGTAATTTCAATCCGATCAGGAAGCCCGGGTATTTCAAAGTACTCTGAGTTGGAGTCGATTTCGTTTAGTATATTAGTATTGTTCACTATGTGAATGCACAAGAAAGCAAAGCATCCAGGTCCATAGAAAACTAGTCTTGGGATATTTAATCTCTTTGCAAGATTAGTAGACCAAGGAAAACCACCATCTGAGATGATGCAACTTGGAGGTGGATATAAAACCTGAAGCATCTTCTCCACTGGTTCTTCTAGCTTCTTCATAGCTGTGAACATGTTGACTATATACGCAGCTGATGGAATTAAGTCAAAACTCTCGCATCCTTCAGGCAAACCGGATTCAACGAATGGGAATTGGACTTCTAGAATTTTGATGTTGAGTTGACCTTCGATTGCCCGATCAATGACTGAATTAAAACGGTTTGCGTTAACAGGAGTTGTGATTATAGTAACAGTTACGCCGGTTTGGGCTAATATCCTGGCGATGTCCACCATGGGTATCATATGACCCTGAGCCATCAGTGGAAGCAAGACGAAGTGAAGGTCGGTGGAAGGGGAAGCCATTGCTGTTTCGGATGTTGCCTTTGGTGATTCTTTCTGAAACTACTGAAGCATGTGCACTACTTCTACGAATACCATGACAACATTGGTAATTAAGGGCGTACCATCTGTCGCTTTGTAATATTAAAAAAAAAAGAAAAAAGAAAGAAAGTCGACTTACGTAAATTAACAAAAACATTAAAATATTAGATGATAACGTTCTAGAAGGTGTGGTCACAACAAATTGCATTTTATGTTTGGCATCATCTAACTACATTGATGCGATTCGAAATTTTGGTTTAAAAAAGACGCTAACCAATGTATCAGCATTAGATAATATATCTTAGCATTAAATATAAAATAAAATATTTTCAATTTTATTGTACCATCTAATCTATATATTTTAACTAAACTTCCATAACGACGATTTCCGAGTCAGTTTTCGCGCACCGACTAATCCCCCGCTGCAAACATGAGACTATGCCGCATGCCCTAGAGTCACTGCAAGCGACCAAATAATCTAACTTTTTTAATTTGTACTAGAAAGTTCCCCCCCCCCCCCCCCCCAAGCGTTGCGGGGGGCGGAAGGTGTTGCTTTTGCGTCAAAGTAAAGTACATTGCCTAAGTTGTTAGCCACAATAAAGTACGTTGTCATTGTAGGAGATTTGTCCATTTACAAACGTGTAAATGTTATAATAAGAAAATACAATCCAATAATTGGATAGAATTTCCACAGGACAATGTGTTAATAAGAAAATATATCAAAGTGTTGCAGTATGCTATAAAAATAAGAATAAAAAAAAAATGTACATTAGCACAACAATCTCCCTATACAGAGATTTAATGACCAGACTCACATTATTAGAATTATAACAAATTTTCTTACCTTGAAAAGCTTAGGAGCATAATATTTAGATCGGTAACATTCTTCTCTTCTCGGAAGATTGCACTTATGTTAGTTCTACTTACGCTAGATAAAAAAAAAAAAAAACGTAGCTCCTTGCCCACCCTCGAAATGGCCAAGGCTTTATAATCGGGTATAACTCGGAAGCCGGATTGTGCTGGATTCCTGCATATATAAGCTGGCCATACCATTATAAATTAATGCCACAACTATTAGATAACGAAATGATGTATATTAAGGCATTAAGGGCCAGAAAAAGTTGGAAAATAATACCTCATTGCGTTTAATCCGGACAACATAAACTCTGCTACCTGACCTGCACAGTAATTACATGAAAACATTAGAAAGCAAAAACCCATGATAAAATCTGAGCATACACATTCATCTCATATGACACACACATACAAAGTGGATCAGACATACACACATCCAAAATTTATTATGCATCAATAAGTACTTTTCAACATCAAAATTCAAATAAATTTTGAAAAAAAAGGATCATAAATCATTTCAACTCCAACTCACCCGATAAACAGGATAATCTGAGCGGTTCTCTCTTCCTCTAAAAACACATATCCTTGTCAAAATTGAAAAACGTGGATGTCTTGCCTGCAATATATAAATAAAAAGGGAAAACGAATGTTTATATAAAGTTAGAATTCAATTTAATAAAAATTAAAAAGTAATAAAACAAATCTATCTTGCGGCCTTGACATCATCCGAAGGATTGTCCCCAATCATGCAAGCATTGCCAATATTTATTGCGATATCACATGGGCGGATACGACTTTTCAGCATTCCTATCTAAATAACAAAGATAAAAATCATGATTTAATAGTTTACAATACAAACTTTCATAACAGGGACATACTTGTTATTTAACCTTCAAATGCTCCCCACGACCTTAGAACAACTCAGGCGGCTCAACCTTAAAGTTTCCAACAGGGACAGAGTTGTCATTTCACATTCGCCACTCTTGGTTAAATGTTCAAATACCTTTGTGAAAACTACCACCGAATTCAACGTCTTTTCTTCCTAAAAACATTTGTGAATCAATTTTAAGTAAAAGGAAATCGAAAATTTACCATATAGTAAAATACAAAATTTTAGTGTTATTTAACATTTTCTAAAACCTGTAAAAATATTTCATATCGTTAGTAATTTATTATACTTTTACCATTTTATATGACCAAAAATGAAAAAAAAAATAATCAAATTTAGACTAAATCATAAGGCATAAACCGATACACATATGGTTGAAAATATTTTCTTACTATGCCTTGTATATAACTCTGATGCTGTAAAATGGTTGTCTTCTAAGTTTCTGCACGCACATGGTCCTGCAAAACTATAATAATTAGCCTAAAGTTTAAAGAATAAGACCAAGTGGAAGTAGAAAATTGTAGAAAACGTAAATACATTGATATGTTAAAATGTGAAACATATCGGTTTCATAGTATTCTAACAAACAACATTTAATATTGAAGTGCGACATATATATAGTAATGTTGTAAAAAGAACATACATGTATCTCCTCAAAGATATCCGGCCATGTGATATTCTTCTCCCGCAAAAAAAAGGTTTGATGTTACTTTTTTTAATGCAAAAGACAGAATATAAAGCCGACTTCTGAGTTTTCTTCAATTGTTGCCTGCCACATTGCACTTCAGATCTGTAAAACTATGTTCCATACGATGTAAATGTATTCTACAACAAAATTGCAAAGGGTGAATTTACCTTTTTACATGATTTTCACAGCAAAATGGCCAAGATGCTCTGTTCATCCTGTTGAACTAATGCTTTAGAGGTCCCGAGAGTTTGAATTCCAGCTCTTCTTGCTACCTCCTTCCTCATGATGCTCTCTTACTTCCCCTATCTCTAATGTGTAAAATTCGAAACATTAAAATTGATTAAGAGAGAAGGCGGAAGATTGAAAGTAAATAATATCAAAAAACTTTAGGATTTCCTTCAACAACTTTTCGTCCAGTACCCAGAACCTCACAACAGAACCTCTCTGTGAGGTTGGAAATGGATTTTTTTTTCAAAAAGCCATGAAACTGCGTTAGTAATAGAGGCGAAGTTTCAGAAGAATTATGAAATCGCTGACCACGGGGTAAACGAAACTTCGATTGACATCCCCAAATCTTTATGATACAACACAGGTAACGATTTTTTTTTCCTTTAAATTCCCCAAAATTTACAGAAAACAGGAAAGAAGACATGGATAAAAGAAGAGAATAATAAAAAAAATCCAAAATCAACCTTCATGAAATTGAAGAAATTGAGGTGTACATGAACTAATAGGGATTTAGAGTAGTCTTAGGATAGCAAAACCATCGATGGAATCGTTTGGCCTATCCAGAAAGCCGGAAGATGGAACCATAAGATAAAAGATGGAGAAAGGCGGTGGACGGTGAAGGGGGAAGCCGACTACCAGAGCATTGATTTCAGTCCCTTCTCCGTTTACCGACTTCGTAACATCAATTTCAGAGAAAACTGAGATACATCGGCCATCAGATATGTTAAGAAGACCGATTTCCGGCCACAAAACGAAGAAAAGAGGAAAGCGATTTGCAGTCGATGGCGGTGGGAGGATGGGGTGGAGAAGCAGTAATATGAACAATCGATTGGGTCATCCTTCAAAAGTGGAGTGTAATCGGATGAGAGGATCGAAGATATACGGGTGAGAAGTAAAGCAAATAGGGAATCGGCGATGCATGAGCCGAACTCCGTTTCTTTCAATTTTAGTAACTTGAAGAGGCGGTGACCTTTTGCTTCTTTTTCCCTGTATCGATCATTGATCTGTTCAAAACCGACAAGAATTTGAGGACGGCTCTGACAGAGCAACAATACCCCCAAAATATGATAAGGTTTAGATAGAAGAAGGAAGAAAATTTGGATGTTTATCTGAGATGGTACAGGCAGAAAAGATAAAGAAGAATCGAGAATGTGGTCAAAGTTTCAAAGCAGTGAAAGGCGGTGGAGATATTACCATATATAAATAGAGCTGATTTGCGTAGCAACAGCTTTACTGTTGCTAAAAGTGACAAACACAGAAAATGTAGGGACCAAGAATAACACAAACAGAAACGACCAATGTAACAAAAATAGAGGGACCGGAAATGTAATTTAAGGGACCAAAACTGGTCAAAAAGTCTCATGTTCACTATTTCTTTTGTTCACAATTTTAATATATATAATAATTTGAAAAAAAATAACGAACATTTTATTTATTTATTTGCAAAAATAACCACTTTGTTTGGAATGAGTATTTTCAACTAAGATTTTTTTTGACTAATTCTGAAATGACATTCTGGATTCTGAACCAGTATTCCGGATTTTATACTAAAATTTTGGATTTCGAAAAAAAAACCTCCGGAATTTCAAGAACAAGTTCGAAATCCGAAAACAATTCCGGAATTTCGAGAAAAAAAATTGTTTTTTTTACTTAAATATAACAAAAAGTTAAAAAAAAAACATACTTAAACATGAAATCCAAAAACTATATACAATATTACTGCATGAAATTAGATATTGTTTTTGAAAAATGGTGACATTAAACATTTCGAAATGTAATATTTGCAATTCCAAAATAAAATAAACAAATTTCTTTGAATATATATATATATATATATATATATATATATATATATATATATATAGGTTTAGGTTCTATTGAAAACAAAAAACCCTAAAAAAAACCTTAAAAATCATAAAAATGCATAAAAAAAATACTTAGAGATCACAAAACTTTTTTTTGAATTTTTTTATGAAAAAATCGCATGTTTTTAAATAAACTCGCTGATTTTTTTTAAAACATTTTTTTTAAAAAAATGATTTTTTTTTCAGCGAATTTATTAAAAAACCTGCGATTTTTTTATAAAAAAAATTAAAAAAAAGTTTTGTAATCTCTAAGTATTTTTTTATGCATTTTTATGATTTTTAGGGTTTTTTTAGGGTTTTTTTGTTTTTCCAAATAACCCTTCCCTATATATATATATATATATATATATATATATATATATATATATATATATATATATATATATATATATATATATATATGGGAGGGTTCAATTGAGAAAAAAAGTTGAGAACGACGGAATGAATATGTGTCATT